ACGTTTTCCACACAACATGGCCCCTTTCTGCATAAAACAGGTACACAATGGGCTCTTGGTGCAACTCCGTTTTGGGCTTATTGAGTACACATTCACAAAGCGTATCCTAGTTTTGCATCATTTTCTACATACTGTAGGCCTTTCACATGTTTTTGAACATTGTGACAACTGATATTATGTTCTCTTTCTCATAAAATTCTTACACTAACAGTAGAAGACTGCCTTTTTACAAATATTCAGACTTTTGCATACACATTGCCGAAAGTTATCCCCTTTTACCCCAAAGTTTTTGCTATCACTCCAGGGCTTGAAACCAACAGGCTAGCCAAGACACATGGACAGTACCCAACATCTAGGTCCTAACAACGTTTTTCTTAGGGCTTATATGCATACAGACTGTAAAAATTAAACCTCAACCTCTTTTAAAAAAAAAAGAGTCAGTGTGGAGCCCTGCATCATGCATTGACAAAGTCAAGATAAAGTGTTACCACTGGGACACTGTCTTACTCTACCGACACTATAGCAACTAGACTTCATACTTTGATTGCTTCTCTGGAATTTCAGGATCATCCTGTGGAATTCTTGACTCAGTAGAAGGAGCTTGCCTCTTGTCAGGCCTGTTCTGACTGCTGCTACCCTCTCTGTGTGTCTGAGAGAATTGACATAGAGTATCTGTTGTACTGCCACCATGCTGTTGAGGGTGGTCTGATGGTGGTAATGTCCTTCTTGGATAGTGTGTATCACCCATGGGTTGCTGTTGAGGGTGGTCTGATAAAGGTAATATCCAACTTGGGTAGTGTATATCACCCATGGGTTGCTGTTGAGGGTGGTCTGATAAAGGTAATGTCCAACTTGGGTAGTGTACATCACCCATGGGTTGCTGTTGAGAGTGGTCTGATGATGGTAATGTCCTTCTTGGATAGTGTACATCACCCATGGGTTGCTGTTGAGGGTGGTATGATGGTGGTAATGTCCATCTTTGAGAGTGTACATCATCCATAGGTTGCTGTTGAGGTTGGTATGATGGTGGTAATGTCCATCTTTGAGAGTGTACATCACCCATGGGTTGCTGTTGAGGGTGGTCTCTACCAGTACTGCTTGTACTTTGGATTGGTGATGAAAGGTTGGTGGAATATGATACCTGACTGGAAGAACCTGGTCTACCTGTGCTCCCATGAACCGGTGGTTGATACTGTGCTGGTGAAAGGTACCCTGCGAACATGGTAGGTTGATCATGCCTTGAGACTGGAGGGTTAGGAGACGGAGCAGAACTTGACATAGTGGCATGGTAGGTAGGATTGTGGTAAGCCTCTCTATACTCAGGACTGCAGTAATAAACACTGAATGGCTCATTTGGAGCAGGGGTGTGGTACCCAGTAAACATGCCTGATTGGAGATTGGAAGGCATAAATTGGGGCTGACTAGGCCCAGCATTCCACGGTAGTGCATTATTCTCTGAATAGACTGGCCCCAAACCAGACTGAGTCCTCAATGTACGTGGCTGTTGTAAAGGTTGCCCCACGATGAAATTGTCCCAAGACTCTTGCAAGACTGGAATATTAGCACCTAACCCCCTTGGTAGGGTGTCTGGGGTAACACTGGTGTTGGCATCAGCTGAGTTGTCCGAGTTGTTTGAGCTGCCCAAGTCAGCTGAGTTGTCTGATTCATTAGAGGTGCTTCTTAATGGATAGATGGACCTGAAATAAGGTATAAGGACTGTAAGGAATGATGGGAAACTGAGTAACGTTTGAGTTGGCCAAGTCGGCTGAGCACTAAAGGAAACAGATTTTTTTCTTACTATCTGTTTGCAAGATGAGAATTAAAAAATCAACTACTATTGGTCTTATTGAAACTATCAAGAAACATTTTGGTCAGCGACTGAAGAAGAGATGAATATATACAGCCCCCCCCCCAAAAAAAAGAACAACATATGTTAACAGTATATAATACTAGTACATATAAAGAACAAAAACATTCAACAAAATTTAGGTTGACTGATCCACTTATTAGTAGGGAATTTGTTCAATAAAATCTTCATTTTTTTTAAGGTAAACAGTATCACTTTATTGCATGCTCCCAGAAGAAATATCAGCATTGTAGCTTTTCTTAGTATTCCACTAAAGTCGGGGCTGTTAGGGCTATTTAGGGGTCGTTTGGTGCAGATTCTTCTAAAAAAAACAAATATGGCCCAAAGGTAGCTTATAGTACCATATACTATTATGATTTCTGCCGAACGCCAAGACGGGCACCCTCTGTGGCCGCCATATTGGTCAAATCCAAAATGGCTGCCATCTGAGTTAAAGGTCAAGCGTAGTTTCAAAAGGAAAAGGGCTAGTATCATAAAAATTTGTATATTTATGGGTTTGGGGGTCAAAGAATCTGAATATAATGTTCTTTCATCGATTTGAGATCTCCTCGAGGCTGTCATACTGGTCATATATTGGTCAAATCCAAAATGGCCGCCATCTGAGTTACAGGTCAAGTGTAGCTACAAAAGGAAATGGGCTAGTATGATAAAAGCTTATATATTTATGGGGTTTTGGGGGTCAGATAATTTGATTATGATGTTCTTTCATCGATTTGAGGTCTCCTTGGGGCTGCCATACTGGTCATATTAATCAAATCCAAAATGGCCGCCATCTGATAGTTATACAGGCCAAGTGTATACGAAAGGAAATGGGGTAGTATGATAAAAAGTTTATATATTCATGGGGTTTTTCGGGGTCAGAGAAACTGATTATCATGTTCTTTCATCGATTTGAGATAAAATTGATTTGATAAATTCATGGGGTTTCCAGGGTCGGATAATCTGATTATGATGTTCTTTTATCGATTTTATGTCACCAATCCTGTCCTACATGTTCAAGGCTACAATGAAGTCCATTTCCTGGTTGAAGAAGATGAGGGAAGATTCTTGGCCTGCGCCCATACTTTTCATCATTATGTTCTATTAGTCGTTGCTGTCAATGTTGTTGCTACATCCGCCCTCGTATTTGCAGAGCATCGTTTAACTGGTGACCCTCGACCAACCTACTGAGTCGCAGACATCCTTCATCAAAACTGCTTCAGTTTTGTCTCCCTTTCCTACATATTTCTACTCACGTCTTAACTTTGAACTGTCACCATGGCTACTGACGATCACACCCATTCTTCAACTTCTGAAACTTCTGCTTGCCCTTCATCTGTCTCCAATGTTCAAATCAAACTTCCTCCTTTCTGGTACAGTGATCCTACTATTTGGTTTGCCCAAGTCCAGGCACAATTCATAACCCGAGGCATCACCAAACAGAAAACAAGGTTTGTCTACGTCGTCGCCTTCTTGCAGCCGGAAAATGCCCAGGAAATTTGGGACTTACTGATATCTCTTCCTCAAGAACAGCCCTACGTTAAACTGAAAGCCGAATTGATACAGAGGAACTCCACCTCCGAGCAAAAACGCCTTCATCGGGTGCCGATTTATGAGGACTTTGAGAGATCGCACACCTTCCCAATTATTACTTCGCAAGTTTTTTTCAAGGCAGACAGTCAAGTGCTTCCAAATCTCTTCTTGACCAATGTCCAGACCTCACACGTCCAGTCTACAAGGGGGAAAAAATGCTAGAATTAGGCATCGTCCGACCTTTTGGCAGCAGTTCGGCATCCCCACTTGGTGCCCAAGAAAAAACCCCGAGACTGGAGACCGAGCGATGACTACCGTGAACTACATGTAAATAAGAATACAGCGCCCGATAAATGTCCTATTCCCCATCTTCAAGATTTCACCTCAGCTCTAGCAGGCAACAGAGTTTTCTCCAAACACGATGTCATCAGAGCGCACCACCAAATTCCAGTCGATCCAGGAGACGTACACAAAACAGCCTTCACCACACCCTTTGGGTTTAATTTGTGCCTATGCCTTTTGGGCTTTGAAATGCCGCACATATATACTTTTCAACGGTTTTTTGATGATCGAGGTTACCCATGGTCTAGCAGTTGTGTACGCCTACATCGACGACCTCCTCATCGTGAGTAAGACAGGACATAAGAGGAACATATTCAACACCTCCAACTAACTACTGTTCTTACAACTCTTGAAATATGTTGTAGTCATTAACCCACTCAAGTGTGAATTTGGCACATATTCTCTCATTTTCTTCAACCAGGAAATGGACTTCATTGTAGCCTGTCGAGTAGGACAGGATTGGTGACATAAAATTGATAAAAGAACATGATAATCAGATTCTCTGACCCCGAAAACCCCACAAATATATAAACTGTTATCATTCTAGCCGTTTTCCTTTTGGAACTACTATTGACCTATAACTATCAGATGGCGGCCATTTTGGATTTGACCAGTATGACCAGTATGGCAGCCCCAAGGAGACCTCAAATCGATGAAAGAACATGATGATCAGATTCTCTGACCCCGAAAACCCCATAAATATATAAACTTTTATCATTCTAGCCGTTTTCCTTTCGTAACTACACTTGACTTGTAACTATCAGATGGCGGCCATTTTGGATATGACCAATATGACCAGTATGGCAGCCCCAAGGAGACCTCAAATCGATGAAAGAACATGATGATCAGATTCTCTGACCCCGAAAACCCCATAAATATATAAACTTTTATCATTCTAGCCCTTTTCCTTTCGGAACTACTATTGACCTATAACTATCAGATGGCGGCCATTTTGAATTTGACCAATATGACCAGTATGGCAGCCCCAAGGAAACCTCAAATCGATGAAAGAACATTATATTCAGATTCTCTGACCCCCCAAACCCCATAAATATATAAATTTGTATCATATTAGCCCTTTTCCTTTTGGAACTACTCTTGACCTTTTAACTCAGATGGCGGCCATTTTGGATTTGCCCAATATGGCGGCCACAGTGGGCGCCCTTCTTGGCGCTTTGCAGAAATCGTAATAGTATGGTACTATAAGCTACCTCTGGGTCAAATTTGGTGCTTTTAGAAGAATCTGCACCAAAATATCCCGAACAACCCCAACTATTCCACTAGAGGCTTTTTATATTGTTTATATATCGCACTATTCATGAAAAGTCTACATGCTGTTACCTGAATCTTAATTTTGTTTATCACATATACTGTACTGACCTTTGCCAACATGTGAGGGTGTGAAGAAATGAGTTCAAGTCATCTTGAGCAACTCCATTGAACCTGAAGTTTCCCTTCCTGATCTGAGGAAAACAACCCTGTAAAATGTAATAGCAAAATTTGTATCAGTTTAAAGTAAGTGGATCTATTTCATTCTGGCATATAATATATTTTCTTGGGGAATACACACTCAACAGCTAAAGTTACATCCCTTAAACAAAATGAAAATAAGAAGGAAAAAAAAGAAGTATGGAGAATTAAAAAGGCTACAGTAAGAAAAAGAGATTTACATTAGTACTGGTAGTAGTATCCTCTATAGCAGAAGTAGTGGAATATGGTATCTACGACAAGTAAATCAAAATCAACTACCTGTTAGACAAATCTTTATACTTTTTCTCATACTATTAGGGGATCAGAGAACAACAGAGAACAACAGAGAACAGAAAAGCATTACTTTTACGATTCAACCCTTAAAAGGCTTGGGTTGGTGGAAGCAGCCTACTTTCCTGAAAGTAATGTGTTTAAGAAAAAATTATTTCCAAGATCTGTCCCGACTTACTAGCCTAGAACTTGTGCATCTTTGATACTGAATTTATAGAATTTAACCATTGGTTACTGTGCAGCATCGAGAATGATTGCACTATGCACAGCCAAAATAGACATTTACCCATATGTAATGTACACAATGCAGAAAAAGCAAGATGAATGTGACTGCATCTCTGATATGAATCCCCCTACATGTATATTCAATGATCAATGATCCTGTGACCTTTAACATCTGGCCTCACGAACCTAAACTCTTTTCATTTAATATTTTCATGCTCTCACATACCTGAGCCTTGTTTGGTTGAAACTGTTTATTGGTTTAACCCTAATCAGGCAGTGGGGCCATAATGCCCCCCCCCTAGAGTTTTTTGTGCTCCGTCTTTACCACTTGAATTACTTTATATTTTCTTTCAAGTCTTTCACACATTTTGATACCAACTGTGCAATTCGGATCTACGGTAGGGGTGTCAAATTACAATTATTGATCACATGTCAATCAAAATGTGCAATTTTCTCTATTTGCTAGTGTGTTAGACTAAAGAAGAATCAATGTGGGGTTCATCCAACAAAAGAAAACATAAAATATGAAAAACAAGATATGAAATAGTTGAGCTGGTACTATATCATTCACGACATGACAATTAAGGAATTTTACTTAACTTTAATTTCAAACAAACCATGTAGTTCATATGTTAGAGCGTTTAAAATTTTCAAAACAACATAAAACAAATAATTTTCCAACCACTTTACACTATAAAACTGAAATAGGTATGTTTTTATTACATATTATAGTATTAATGACTGCTTTGAGAGAAATAGTTGTTTTATTACGCTCAAGGGAAGGTTAGAATTGTGCTATTCCCCGAGGCTTGCCGAGGGGAATAGCCCAATTGTAACCTTCCCGAGAGCGTATGAAAACAACTATTTCTCGAATATTAAAGCAGTCATTAATACTTTTATATGCCGAAAAAAAATAGACTAAAAAATGAAAAATTAAAAATATTTAACATTTTGTCGAAGACGGGATTCGAACCCTTGCGTACAACAAGAGGTGTACCGAAAACCAACGCTTAGACCACTCGGCTATGGCCCGCCGTTAACATGCTTGGCAGTTTTCTCCAATATATACATTAAAATGGATTGAAACCGGCTTCGCGTGTGATGAATGCTTCGCAAAAGCTCCATATACGGACTCTTCTTTTACTTTTGCAATGCATATTGGCACGAACTTAGATCAAGATCTATCGGCAGATGTTGTTTTTTTGTTTTTGGAAGTTTATTTTCGTCTTCATGTCAACAATGCAAGATAAAATTGTCGGTAAGATCGATCGAGATTCAATTGTATTGAAATTACCGACCAATCCTTCGCACACATACGGCATCCTCCATCGCTCAAACCATTTTTTAACATGTAAACCTATGGGGTAACCATGGAGGCTGACCAACTGTTTTTAATAACCATGGTTATTAAAAATATTGAAATGTTTTATGCATGGTTACCGAGAATTTTACAGGAACAGTTGAAGTTTATGAATGCAATTCGACCAATCAGATGGCTGGATTTCTTAAGTGAGGTATATAATGTGTATTATATCCTGCATCAAAAATTTATTAGTTTTTGGTTGGTTGAGAGCTCGTCACATGACCAGAAATATTCCAACTATTTTAAGGTTGCTCTGAAAAAGTACTATATGAGAGTACTATTGGGGAGTAGAAGTACTATTTGGGAGTTGATTTTTTTTGTTGAAAATTCAGCGAGCGTACAAGATTTCAAATGCCTGCAGTCAGCAACTCCCGCGGTGTCACGGCACTCAGGATGTAAAAATTACGCTAGAGTCACAGTACCTACTGCATTACCTGTATAGCGCCAGCTTTCGGTCTTGAATTTGTGCAAGTTTTGTTGTTGTTATGATCGTCTGCAAAGATGGCGGCCTCCGCAAATCAGAGATTTGACAGTGTCAAAGATGAAGATCTGAATGATTTTATTTATTCTATGGACAGCGACAACACAAAGAAACAAATTAAGTATGGAATGTCAGTGTTTGGCAAATTTTGCAAGGAGGTGGAGGCGAGTTTCGATGATATTGATGGTGAAGGGCTTGATCTACTTCTGTCGCAGTTCTACGCCGGTGCAAGGAACAAGAAAGGGGAACTCTATAATAATAATAATAATAATAATAGTACATTTATAAAGCGCAGAAACTATCCAACATTATGTATATATTCTACTGCGCTACAAGAGCTCCTGATATGCTTAGATTTACGGTACAGTTAATTAAAAAGAAGTGTTTTCAGTTTTGACTTAAAGACGTTTACAGATGATGATTTCCTGACTTCAAATGGCAAGTTATTCCAGAGTTTTGGGGCTGCACAAGCAAATGCTCGATCACCTAGCGTTATTTTTGTTTTGATAGATGGGATCTGTAGCAACAAAGTATCTCGGGAACTGCGCAAGTTGCGATTGTGTTGATTAGGTTTGAAATTCAACAGTTCTTTGATATAAGTGGGAGCTTGACCAAGAAGTGCTTTATATACAATCAGCAAGATTTTGAATGTTATTCTCTGGCGTACTGGTAACCAATGTAGATTTCTTAAAATTGGGGTGATCCGTGTGAATTTAGAACAACCACAGATCAGCCTTGCACAGGTGTTTTGAACCCGTTGCAATCTCACTATTTGACAGAAGAAGAAGAAGTCCATGCAAGCAATACAATTTGCACTACAGCGTCATTTCTTGAACACTAGAGGACTAGACATTGTAAAGGGTAAGGAATTTACTCGCTCAAATCAGACTTTTAATGCTGTTCTTTTGAAACTGAAGACCAGCCAGTGGGAAGGCAAATGTGAAACATCATCCCTCCATCAGTGACGATGATATGGCATGTATCCAAGCAAGTCTAAATTTAGACACAGCTGAAGGTCTACAAAAGAAAGTGTATCTGGACATAATGATTTACTTTGCAAACCGTGGCATGGAAAGTGTGTGTGACATGAAACCGACCGATTTTGATCTCCATTTGGAAGATGGCAAGGAATATTACACTGTCAGAGATATGCACAATAAAAACCATCAAGATGATGAGGACCAAAGTCAGGGTGGACAACTGCATGCACTCCCAGGAAACCCCAGGTGCCCTGTCATGAACATGAAAAAGTATTTGTCGAAACTGAATCCTCAGTGCGAATGGATGTGGCAGAGGCCAAAGCAGAGAGTCGGTAAAAAAGATTGTGTGGTATGCGAATTCCCCTGTTGGGAAATGGACCCTTTCTCAAATGACCAAGAACATTTGTAAAGCCGCTGGTTGCACAAAGCACTACACCAACCACTCCTTGCGTGCAACAGTATTACTTTGCTCAATCACGCAGGGCATGCATCGACAGATATCATGTCCGTTTCAGGCCACCACTCCGAAACATCAATCAAAAACTATGTTCGTACTAGTGAGCTAAAGAAGCGTGAAATGTCAGAAACTCTTTCTAGAATTCATCCAGATCTAGATCAACCATCAAAATCAACAGCAACAACCTCTAATCTAGATGAGATAGAAAACATTGACAATGACGATGATCCAGACATCTTTGACTTCACAGATAGTGGGCATCTACGCGTTATGGATGCCCTTCCCTTGCAAGTGATGCCACCAGCCCAACTTCCACAACCACCGCAACAGCAAGACAGGATGTTTGGAACTATGAACATTGACATGAACCAGCAGAATCTTCACCCACAACAGTTTCATTTTAATAGCTGTGTGGTGAATTTTTACAACAAGTAGACCAGATGAAACATGGAAGGATGTATATATGTTTGAAACATTGTTTGTTAAACGTTTGAAACACTGTAAATATGTTAATCGTTGACGTTGGAACTTGTTCGCGTTAGACTTAGAGTGAGATGATTTGGAATTTTTGGATTCAGTGGAAAACCAGTTGGAGACCTCAAGGCAGGAGCAACCAAGCAAATATTAAAGGTGACCTTTTTTGCTTGATTATAAATTTTTGACTTATTTTGCTTGATTATAAATTTTTGATGTAGGATATAAAACAAATATACCCTGCCTTTTTTTTGAGGTACTGGTTAAAACTATTGGTACTCAGTGATTCCAAAAGTACTATTGGAGTCATCTCTTGCCAATAGTTCTAACCAGAACCTCTCAAGACAGTGTATATTTGTATAATATTATGTAATTTGTTAAACAAATAAATAATTTTTTTTTTAATGAAGCAAAATATTGAAAAAGTATTATTCAATATGTGTATCAATTTTCATCTTCGTACAGCCAACCATAGCCGAAATCTTAGGGGGGAGGGGGTCATAATGCAACCTCTCGTGACAAATCTTTACAGGCTTCTTGCAGTGCTCAAGGGTTTCATACGTGTACCCTACGGCCAACGCTCAAAATACACGCGGGCGCTGGGCGATTCGCCCCCGGGAGCTCCATAATCGCTCCCGTCAGGTTGCTCACGGGGGCGATTGCAAAATTAAAAATCGCCCCCGTGGAATTATAAAATAAAAATTATCTTTTCTGATATAACTTTAACACAATATTGAGTATCAATTTTCAAACCTTAAACCAATGAAATGGAACTTAGATGGCGCTATCTCTCCCATCTCTATGAGTATTACCGATACAAAAAACGGAAGCTCGCACTATATTGTGCGGCCGTCAGCAGTGGCTATACTGCGCCGGTAGTACAGGTTTGCACGCTGACGCCCAATATCTGCTGGAGCTGGAGACGATCACGCAAAGACTGAAATATGCAGAAGTTTTTCGTTGTGAAAAGTGTGAATCTTCTGAAATCTGGTGATTCTAAAAGACCAGCAAATTATGTACCTTGACCAGTAAATCAATATCGAGAAGAACAAGACCAAAGATGTTGCAGGGGTGGATCTAGGCGGTTTAGGGGGTTTAACCCTTCTATCCCCCCTCCCCCTTGGGCTGCCAAGTGAAAATGTGATGTGCATAGAAAAATGCCATCATGTGTGCAGACCAACACAGTATAGATGTCAGTAGATGCCAGGAAAGCATCACTTACGGGGGTTCAAAATAGCACCCCAAAAATGCTACGCACGTTAGTAGATGCCATGAAAATATCACTTACGGGGGTTCAAAATAGCACCAAAAAATCGCCTCGCTGCTTCGCGGCTCGTGGACGATGCTCCGCATGTTAGGAGATATCAGGAAAACATCACTGTCTTACGGGATTCAAAATAGCAACAACAAAATATCGCCTCGCCGCTATGCGGCTCGTGGACGATAAATGATAATGATAAAAAACAAGGAATTAGGAGTTTCATGGGTACCAATGGAAATTTGTAAAAAAATTAAGAGTCCCCTTCAGCACTAAAAGAGCCCCCGTGAGAAGGCTCACGGGGGCTCTTTTTTTTTGGAAAGAGCCCCCGTGGACAAAAAATTAATTTGAGCCCTGCCTACGGCTCCCTCACGGGCCCCTCAAGAGCCCCAGGTGAATGCACAACAACAGGCGTCTGCCGTCCAGGGGCCATTTTAAATGAATATTGCCCTTGCGGGTCCCTCACGGCGGCATCTCAAAACGTACAACGCAGCTTTAAATACAGGAAGTGCGGATGCCAGAGGACAAATAAGTCAGTGCACCTCACGGCACCCGACCGGGCACCTTCCGGGAGCCATGGGTGCACCTGTTCATCGGACGTAGCCCGTAAGCTTACCGGCCGGCACCCTGCCGGCACCCTTACGGGCGCCTTGCATTTCACTCGACCAATATTCACCGGGCACCTCCCGGGCGCCGCAGAATATGTGACCATATATGCTGTAGAAATGAAAATCGGAAGGTTCCTGTACGGTCTCGTAATCCACGTCAAGCCACCGGGTAGGGAAAATCGTACGGAGCCTGGTTTATATGTGATGTAGGCATAACACTGCATTAGCTGTAATATGTGCCAAAACAAACCGTAATAAATATATGTGATCGTACCAAGATATTTTTCAAAACTATGAAAGCGCATCGGAAAAGACAACTGCCCAAAAATAACGTAAGCAGATAGTCTTCCATGAAATGCCACAAAATAGTGATATTCGAGGAGTTACTGGGTACCATTTTATTGAAATGCTCATCTATTGTTTAATAGTGCTAATCACTACACTCTAATCCACTGCTATACTGCTTTTTACCGCAGAGGGCAGTAGAGTGAATTCTAGCGTAGTGATCAAGATGGACAGTACATGTATAAGAACCTCACACCACCCCTATACAAATTTCAGTACACTTACATGCGAGCTCGACAGCGTGCTCGCCGGCGAGTTCGTCGACGAGCACGCAGACGAACTCGCCAGCGAGCTCATTCGTTCCAAATATGCAAATTAGCTGCGAGCATGCCAGCGAGCTCGTTAATTTGGGGAAAAACAGCTTGAGGCTAGCTTTTTTGGCAAGCTCGTCACTGGCTGATAAGCTCGTTGGCGTGCTCTAAATATGCAAGCTCGTCGGTGAGTTCATTGGCAAGCTCGTCTATAAGCACTTCGAAAATCTCGTGGAAAAAAATGGCTGCAAGCTTAATGGCGTGCTTAACAGCAGGTTGGCTTGAGAACAAATTTGTGTCTACATATAGAGGGGAATTTGATGATCCTGTTGAGCTATTGGCAGGCATATATATATATATATATATATATATATATTTATCTAACTTAGCAACCTTCCAATATCCTGTTAACATCTGCAGGCTGGCTATATATGCAGGGACAATTCAGTTGGTAAGCTGGCAAGCTGGTGAAGAATACAGTGATCCTCTTTAGAATTAGGGCAAATTAAAAGCTCATTACTTCTGGGATATCAATCAATTAAATCAGAAATAAAATATAACTTAAAACAAGTAGCTCTTTATTAGAGTCAATACAATCCCTGTTTAATGCATGTTACTTGTATGCGCAGTTCACAACTTCACACAACAATATGAATGAATAAATGATTTCCAAAGCCCATTCAGATACTAAATATAACTAATAACTCCTGATATATCACTATTTCTGTGACATTTCTTGGACAACTATTGATTTCATGTATCTGCATGTTTACAATAATTTTGAGAAGTTTTTTTTGTTTGTCATTATGCTCTCATAGTTTTGAATGATATATCGGTACAATCACGTTCTTATCTAGGTTTGCAACAGCGATTAGTAACGCAAGCAAACAAGTAAGCAAACGTATCATGTATTAAAAGAAACTCATGGTATTTAGACCAAAAGAAAAGCAATAAACAATGCCAAACATGGATGAAAATAACTTCATATGAAATATATTCGATATCACCCAAGGTATGCATGCTATGTATTTTCAAAGGTATTTGGCTGCTACAATGAAATTTAAGCATATTAATGGGAACATTTAGATCTAACAACAGAAGTAGATCTAGCAGATGTTTTCTGTTGTATCATTTTCACATTAAAAAAACATATATACATATGCAGCATACAACTATTACTGCTGTTTCTTTCAGGCCGGACAAAATATCTTATTTTATCTTGTGAATTTTTTAAAAATTAGATCATTAACAGATTAGTTTCAATATTAAAGGTATTTATAACTCTGGATTTTGTGTGCACGTGCAAGACCCCTAAGTCAGGAGGTTTGTTACTATGGTTCAGTTTGGTAAATTCAAGCCCAAACTAAAATTGGCTCTTAAAAACTATATGACAATTTCTCATATAAATCAAACTTGGAAAAGGTTGGATATTGATTATTGATCAAAACAATGTCAATCTTAACATGCTTGAATTTCAACTGAATCAGTGCATGTGTAGTTTTCAAAATCCTTCCATGTTTCATGTCTATTCAAATATACCAAGTGAATGGCCTTAAAAAAACAGATATACATGTGCACCATATTAAACTATTACCGCTATTTCTTTCTTTCAATGTCCTCCATGTCATTAATATTAAGACACACATACCTGTATGGATGATGCATTTGCTATCAATGCAGGGTAGAATTCCTTATTGAGTGACATATCAAGTTTCACGTCAGTCAGCTTTGGCATAGAACACAGTGTTTCTGCTAGGTGATGTGATGTGGCTGGTGTGGGACGGTTGCGATATGTAAGCTTGAGAGTCTGGACCTACATTGTTTGTGAATATAGTTAAGCAGCACATCTATGAATGCAGATGTTTTATTTAGTAATTTCTGACTGTATTCGTACATTTCACACAAATGCCATTAATTACATAGTTGTATTCATAATAATATTCTCAACAAGAATGATAGAATAGATTATCAAATTCAAATTCTTGACTAATGAAGAAGAAAAAAGAACACTCAAGTTTCTATGGAGAGGAGGATTTAGTAAAAAGTGACCTGTAAGTATTCTTGATGGGGATTCCAACCTGTTTGCATTTTAAAATCCTACTCCTTCTCACACTGAAATGAATGATAACCATAAATGTATATGTGCTATTAATGTTTTAAAGGTATTCATAATTCTGGATTTCATGTGCACAAGAGGTAATTTATTGCTATGGTTCAGTTTGGTAAATTTAAGCCTTTATTGAAATTGGCTCTTAAAAAAGGATAAGATTTATTTTTACTATTAATCTAACTTGGAAAACATTGGATAATGATAATTGATCGAAACAGAGTCAAACTTAAACAGTAGGCTTGCGGGTGCACCATGTGAGAGAGAGGGAGGATTGAGGAGTCCTCAAAACGACTCTCAGTAATCGTCCTGAAAAGAACTGTTGATGTAGTCTTGAAAAAGACTGTTGGTTATCTTTCTTAGCTAATAGTTCTAAGGAGAACTATAGCGCTTGGAGAGGATAAGTGGCGGGAGTGGCTCAACGTTTCGAACAGGTTGACTATCCGTCATCAGGACTCGGGAGTGGAGAATAGCTGGCGTTCGTGAGCTTAAGTCACCGGGGTGCGGACGTGGGGGAAAAATACATGACTGTGTGGGCTTGAGTCACCGGGGTGTGGACATGGATGGTCTGCTCGTCCGTCTACCTATCTGTCTGGGCTGGAGTCTCCGGGTTGCGGACTTTGGGGAGTTTCGAATCCTCCTTCTCTCTCACATGGTGCACCCGCAAGCCTACTGTATATCTACATCACCATGCAAGCCGATACTTATAAGCAGCATCAAAGTCAATCTTATAAACACTTGAATTTCAACTGAATCAGTTTCCTTTATTTCCATGTTGCATGACTATTCATAAATATTCTGTGAATGAACTTTAAAAAACAAAAGTGTTTTTGCCATTAGAACAAGGGAAACGCTCTCGGCGGTCTCGCCTGCATTACGCAATTTGATAAGATGAAAAATTGAGGTTGGAACATTATTTATAGATAGGGTGGCCCATTAGCAGGCCCCCAAAAATGAAATCCTCTGAATATAATTAGCATTTTGAAGTGAATATTGATTGAACAAATAAGAAAAAATTGATTCATTTATTCTCATATATCAAGTTGTGAAAACATAATCCAAGTCTACTGACCTAAAATGACCTTTGACTTTGTGACCTGGAATTTGTGTCATATGACTTGTGATACTTGATATCTCTGGGTACAAGTTTCATGGAATTTGAACAAACACTTTTGAAAATATAAAAATTCGAAATCTTGATGTTGATGCCACAAAAAGTCTCTAAGTTTGTTGACCTAAAATGACCTTCGACCTTAACTTAGTGACCTGAATTCTACTCACATGATTGGGGATACTTGATTACCCTATAGTCCAAGTTTCATTGACTAAGAACTTATACTTTCAAAATTATATCAAAAATTCAAAAAGTTTTTGATAATGATGCCACAACATAGTCCAAGTCTGTTGACCGGAAATGACCTTTGACCTTCACTTTGTGACCTAAAATTCAACTCACATGCTTGGGGATACTTGATAACCCTATAGTCCAAGTTTCATTGACTAAGGACTTATACTTTCAAAATTATATCAAAATTTCAATAACTTAACCTTAGGTTAAGTTTTTGATGTTGACGCTGTCGCCGTCGCCGTCGCCGTCACCGGAAAAGCGGCGCCTATGTCTCGCTTTTTTGCTACGCAGGCGAGACAAAAAACCCTGATATACATGTGCATCATATAATCACTAATACTCTTTTTTGTCTTCAATGACCCTTTAAATAATTAGAACACACCTACCTGTATGGATGATGCCTTTGCTTTCAATGCAGAGTAGAATTCCTCATTGGGATCCTCTCCAGTGAATGAGAGGCAAGTCAGGTTTGGCATGGAACACAGTGCTTCTGCTAGGTGATGTGAGGCTGTAGTGGGCCGGCGAAGCTGGATATCATCCATCCCGAACATCTGGACCTGCATTGTTTGTGAATATAGTTAAGGAGCATGTCTATGAATGCATATGCTTTATTTACTCATTTCTGCCTCCATTCTTATATTTCACACAAATTCCATTAATTACATAGTTCTATTCATAATAACATTCTCAACAAAAATCATTGAATAGATTTTATTTGCAATTCTTGTCTATTCTCAAAAATAACACATTAAAGTTTCTATAAAGAAAGTGATTTAGTACAAATGATTTTTGGGTGGTCTGTCGATGACAGATCACCTATTGATTTTGTTAGAATTTTCTTTCTTTATTTATTTATTCTTTATTTTTATTTCTTCCGTACACTTTTTTGTGCACACGTTCACTCGAAATCGACATGGTCAATTTCCTTCAAATTTCTGTCAGTCATCAGGCCCTATAGTAGGAGACCAGCCTGTAGGTCCCGTGACCAATCTCTGGGAACAAAGGTTTGAAAGTGTTCGATGAATACCGAACAATTTTGACTTGGGCTGCCCCCTTGAAAATCCCGGGCATTTTCGTGAGGGGTCAACAAAGGTCACACAGGGATAAAAATTCAAATAGTTCCAATCGTGTCGATATGTATATCAAATTACTCGTCTGGTCATGAGGATTCCAAAAATGTATAGTTTGCTATACCTCCGACCCTAAATGAGGGCGCTATGGTCAAAAACGTTGAAAGGTCAGCACACTTTTGACTGGTGGTCAAATTCACTAACACAGTGAACCTTATTAAATCACATATCAAATTACTCGTCTGGTCATAAGGATTCCGAAAATGTATAGGTTGTTATACCTCCGACCTTAAATGAGGGCGCTATGGTAAAAAAGGTCAATGCACTTTAGAAATTCACAAACACAGTTAACATTGTCCGATTCTAATGATTTTAGGGTCTAATCATATGTTTTCTGACATAACAAATCCAACTAAGCAACTTTTAAAATCAGAAGTGGTTGCCATAACCTTGAAATTTCCCCCAAACCCATGGATAAGAAGTTGTTAGATGTTTGTCACCGAAACGGCAGCCATTTTGAATGTACATGGTCAAGGTAAGCACTTTTACTTTTAAAAGTTGTATCAACATCATCATGATGATCATCATCATCATCGTCATCACCATTACTATCAAGATCATCATCATCATCATCATCATCATGATCATCATTGTTTACATGTCTTTATAACTTCTCCCTTTCTCAATATAGTAAATATTATATAATCTATCATAAGACTTGAAGACAGACCACCTTATTCGTCCTCGTGACGAACTAAATTCTAGTTTAACATTCTATATGTATTCTTTGTAGGGCTTTCAACCTGTTTGTATCGATATGTCCTACTCCTAATAACATTTAAATTAATACTACTCGTAAATAATCCTTTGCTATGCGCACAAGACGGTTAGACCCTAAGTCAGAAGTTTTGTTAGTGCAGTTTGGTTAATTCAAGCCTTTATCAGAATTGGCGCTTAAAAAGCTGTATGACATATTTCATATCAATCAAACTTGGAAAAGGTAAGATATGACTATCGATCAAAACAGTGTAAATCTTATACAAACTTGAGTTTCAAGTGAATCAGTACATGTGTAGTTTGCTTTTATTTCATGTTTCATGACTGTTCCAATATACCAAGTGAATTGCCTTTAAAAAAGGAGTGTTTTGAGAGAAGAAAAAAACATACGTGTATATACATGTGCACAATATAACTATTACTGCTCTTTCTTTCTTTCAATGACCCTTTCCATGATAATTACATAAGTACACAAATACCTGTATGGATGATGCCTTTCCTTTCAATGTAGAGTAAAACTCCTCGTTGAGATCCCCGTCAGAGAGTATCAGTTTAGTCAGGTTCGGCATAGAACACAGTGCTTCTGCTAGGTGATGTCCTGAGGTTGGTGTGGGAAACTGGATACAATCAAGCTCGATAGACTGGACCTGCATTGTTTGTCAATATAGTTAAGAAGCTAATCTATACATGCATTTGTTTCATTTACTAGTACTAATTTCTAATGGCATTCTTATATTATCACCTCGGGTATGTATAACACAGCTGTATTTATATTCAGATTTGATTAAAATAGTGATGTCATAGTAGTACAACTTGTAATATACCCACTGACCTGTATTTTAGTTAATACAATGTATGACACTAACCTGTGAAATACATTACAATGGTCTCCTAAAATAGACTTTTTTGTAAAGCATTCAATAAATGGATGATCAAATTTTCATTTTGAACAGTGGTCTATGACAGTGTAGGCATATGGCGCCAGTGGCAAACAACAGCACTTAGCAAAATCTTTCATTGAGGCCTACAAGTCGAGGCCTACAAGTCGAGGCCTTACATATTTAGTAATATCATACTGTCTATCTTTAGACCGAGGTTTCCTTGGTTTATTTTAATAGGAAAATGCAAATTGAATATTATTAAGTTGTTTGACAGCATCACTCAGTCTGATTTGATACGAGATATATCTCATTAATGAAACATTGTATCTAAAGACCAAGGTTTCCTTGATTTTGGAAAATGCATAACTGATTATCTTTATACAGTAGGCTTGCGGGTGCACCATGTGAGAGAGAGAGAGGACTGAGGAGTCCTGAAAAGGACTCTGACTCGATAATATTGCTTGGGGGTGTGTAGTCCTGAAAAGGACTGTTTGTTATCTTTCTTAGCTTATAGTTCGAAGGAGAACTACAGCGCTTGGAGAGGATGAGTGGCTCGGCGTTTCGAACAGATTGACTATCCGTCGTCAGTTATTATCTTTAGTTGCAAGATATCAGCACCCAGTCTGATTGTATCTAATTGGTATCTTTAGATAATCATATTAGTTTCAGTGTTGATGTAATAAAGGGAATTTATACAGACTTAATCATGAAGCTACATGTAGCTAGATTAGGCTAGATTAGGCTAGATTAGCCAAAATTGTCCGTTCTGAAATAATTTGACAGCCAGGCAAACAATCATGTTAGCGTCCAAAAATGGGGTTCTAGGACATCTCCTAAATTACGTCTCTGCTCACTGATGTAACAGTTTGCTCTCAAAATATTATTCTTTCAATATAGTATGGTTGTCAATCAAACTAAAACGTACATGTGTGAGTCTAAATCAATTTCTTACTGGTATTTAGACTATATAGCCTTTACACTGTTTCATTAATTAGATATATAAAGGAAAGGGAGAGAGAGAGGGTGTGCAGGAAATAAATATATGGTACATTCTACTTTTTCTTTTAAATCAAGGGAAAGACCATTAGAGAGTGAATTCGTGGTCTCATCAAAATAATAATCCAATATTGAAACATCATTATGATGAGAGAAGATAGGGAGAAGGAGGGGGAAAAAAGACAGATAGACAGAGAGAGAGAGAGAGAAGGATGAAGGTATAGAAGAAAATTGTTTAAAAGTTTTAACAGGAATACGTAACATTTCATTACACAGCGCAAGCAAGAGAAGTAAAAAAATAAAACCAATGGTTATCACAACAAAATCTAAAAAGAGTATTTGTACTTTTATATGGAAATCAATAAGTTAAAATTCATGAAGGATAGATTTGTTTTTAATATTCTATAGTTTTAAGTTTATGTTAATATCTATGAAACAAATTAAGATGGCATCAAAAAATCTTCTTACCTATCTTTTAGATTAATTCAAACATTTCAAATATATGTCTATATGATCATAAACATCCTTGATCTGGGAGTGCCTTGTTTAATTAAGATACAAGAATAAAAATATAAAAAATCACTTCATGGTGTGACAAAATCAATGGCAATAGTGATCCCATGGACAGTATCACTTGCACGTTTGATTCCGAGAACAAAATCACTATGAGACTGATTTTGTGACAAAATCAAATATTTGAAAAGATTTTGTGACGGAATCACACATGTGTCACGTATATGGTGCCCCACGGAGCATAGTTGGAAGTGGAAGGGGGGCGACATGAAAATGTTGACATCTAGTGCAGTGGTCTTTGTTCGCTTAATATCCTTAATTCAGAGTTTCTTTTATGATCGATTGACCTAGAAAAAGGATAGGCGAAAACCAAAATAAAACACTTCTATCGAAATTGATGTGTAGAATTGTCACATCTGGCATTTGTTCTTAGCCCTGGCATTTTACCTCTGATATTTTAACCTCTCACATTTTTTCACCAAATAAATTGTCCTTTGGTAGCTGCTAGGGAGGGGGTAAATTAGCGAGCTTTCGATTTTAGGCACCCGACGTGGGCTACCACGGGTGACGTCATGTTTATCCCCTGCGCATGTGTGAGCTTCTGGGCCCACGTTCCCTTCCAAATCACTCGACAGGAGTTGGGGGCAATTTCTGTGAATCCACGTCGCCGTGAAAACTTCAATGTGAGTGTAGTTTCATAACCTTCTTTCATGTTATTCTTTGTTTTTATTATTCTATTATTTCCTCTTGCTATCTTTTGTTTCTTTTTCTATCACCTTTTCTTATGTTATTCCTTGTTTTATCATTCTATCACTTTCTCTTTCTTTCTTTCCTTATGTTATTCTTTGTTTCTTCCTTCTATCACCTTCTCTTATTTTATTCTTTGTTTTTATCATTCTATCACTTCCTCTTTCTATCTTTCATTATGTTATTCTTTGTTTCTTCCTTTTATCACCTTTTCGTATGTTATTCTTTGTTTTTATCATTCTATCACTTCCTCTTTCTATCTTTCCTTATGTTATTCTTTGTTTCTTCCTTCTATCATCTTTTACTATCATGTTATTCTTTGTTTGTATCATTCTATCACTTTCTCTTTCCTTATGATATTCTTGTTTCTTCCTTTTATCACCTTTTCTTATGTTATTCCTTGTTTTACCATTCTATCACTTTCTTTTTCTGTCATTCCTTATATTATTCTTTGTTTCTTCCTTCTATCACCTTCTCTTATCTTATTCTTTGTTTTTATCATTCTATCACCTTCTCTTATGTTATTCTTTGTTTTTATCATTCTATATCACCTTCTCTAATGTTATTCTTTGTTTTACCATTCTATCACTTTCTCTTTCTGTCATTCCTTATGTTATTCTTTTTTTCTTCCTTCTATATCACCTTCTCTAATGTTATTCTTTGTTTTACCATTCTATCACTTTCTATTTCTGTCATCCTCATGTTATTATTCTTCGTAAAGGATTTTTCGCGAACTGTGAATTTATTACCTGATTTAATCACCTGATATTAAAAAATTGGTCACGTGACCGACGAAAGCACCGTCGTGAAAAATCGAAAGCACTGCCGCGAATGGAACGAACGTGAGCTGCGCAACGTCTCCACCTTTCAGTACCTCAAAGTAGCCGACGTCGGGTGCCTAAATCGAAAGCTCGCTATTGTCTAAGGGGTACAATGTAGTTGTCCAGATAGAGTCTATGAGGTTGTTCACACCGGCAGAGATAGCGCGCGCTAGACCGCGCTATCTCTGCGGTTTGGAAGGTACAATGTCGGTTTGGTCCGCCCAACAGCGAGCTACGGCAAGCAAAAACGGCGTGCCACTAGAGCACCTCTTGAGGGTGGTCCACGAGAGAAAGCGCGGTCTAGCGCGCGCTAGAAAAAAGGGGGTGCTACGATAGACCGCGCTATCTCATTGCGGTGTGAACAGCCTCTATGAAAGTAATTTAAATCGTGCAAACCCTGCTACCCAGGTACTATAATCATATAATTATCTGTATTCATCTAATTATTGTATATATTTTAGTTGTTGTTTGTGTTATGTGATGTAAAATTTAACATCTTCCATTTGGTAAATTCCATAGAGGGGCCAGAATCGACAAGCAAATACATGTACTATTTTCTGGAATTTCATGAGTTGACCGTTGTGCCCTTGAACTTTGACCTATTTACTCCAACATCTGATGAGATTGTCTTCCTATGGTGATACATACTACCATCAAGTTTAAAGTTCATATCTCAAGTGGTTCTTAAGATATGACGTTAACGAGAAAGTGGGTCGAACGGACGGACAGCCCAAGACTAACATAAAGCCTCCGGCAGCACCTTTGGTGGGCAAATTAAGGCATAAAAATGATAATAATAAACCTTTAACTTTCACGAATATAATATTTCTAGGATTAATAAATACATATACCTGATTTTCAGTACATGCCCAAACATGTTATACAATCCTTAATCCCAAGTTGTAAGTATTATGCAAATTCTCTTCTTGCAAAAGCGAATGTGACCAATACTAAAAAGCATCAGAGTCCAAACTAAAGGCAAGAATCACTCTCCCTTCTCATTTCTTCCCATTGATTGTAGTCTAAAAAATGAGTACATTTTTGTTATCTACCCAATGTTTTACTACCCTGTGACGTATCTTGCAAAGTCCCCTCCATTTGACCCTGTAATAAAATACTTTAAAAATGTATGATTTTCCTTAATGATCTTACATTCACCCTAAATATAATTATTACAAATAAGTTTTACGCAACCTCTGAACGAAACAAATCTATTCCGTCATCAATAACAAAGAAAATGAAAGTTTTATGAAATTGTCTGCAAAGAGCAAATTGGAGAGGAGCTTTAATACAAGATACATCAGAGTTACAAATGTGTTTTTTATTGAGCTTTATGAATTGAAAAAAAATGCCATCAAAAATTCATAACTTTTGTATCTTCAATCAGATATTGTTCAAACTTTCACCCACGTTTCTCTTATTTTTCTGCATTTATTAAAACAAACTGAATATCAAGGTGGACTTCCCCTCTAAGTATGTTGTGATCTTCCTACATGTGAGTTTATTTTAGAGCATTCAAGTTCTATAAGCATACAGCTGTTTACATGGTGCTCCCCGCCCACACTCTAGGTTTCCACAGTTAGTTTTCACACTTGAAAGCTTTTGTTAACAATGCTGCCAACTTAGTGAAAAGACCATTGATATAATCTTCTGTACAAAAAAACAGCATATATGAGATATTAAAAGGAATTAGAAAAGGGAAGAGATGGTATTGGAATGAAATGAAATTAAAACTCACACATACATCAAAATTGTGGATTAACTGCTCACCTTTGATTCTTTTCCTTTCCTTGCAAGTGTTTCAAAAAAAAGATGGTGGAATGCAGCTTCGTTAACAAAAAAATCCTTCAAGGATGGAATGGAGCATATCATCTCTGCCACATCAAGTGACATAGTAGGTCCACAATCTCTCTCAATACCGAGTTCAACCTGATAAAATGACAAAGTGATTACTGATGGGATGCAGAATATAGATGTTCACTTGGATGTAAGCCAAACATGAGTAACCTACATGAGTGTTTGCCCTAAATTTGCTGCTAGAACTACAGAGAGTAAGAGGGAAAAGGAAATAACTAAGGGTACAGGCTGAAGAGCTATCACCATGACATTTCATATCAGATTCCAATTTTTGCGACAGTAGGAATATCTCATCTTAGTTTACCATGTAATAAACAGAGAATCCTTAAACAAAATTAAATGAGAGTATAACTCTAAGAACAGGTTTCAAAGGAGATTATTCAAGTCCACACCATCTGGTGCCTCAATCATACCTTAATCATTTATAAATGTCAATTGGAATATACCATCACTAAATGAAAAGGGTGGATACAGAGCAAAAATATAGGCTCGCAACAGAGAAAAAAATTTTTTTTTATAAAATGCTTAGAATGGACTAAAACGTATGCAAAATGATTTTGAGACGATTTTGAGCATTTCAAAATTTTGCGCGCGCATTGACGCGCGGACGTACGCGCACACGTGCGTTATTTGACCTGCAATTGACCGGACGGATATTGACCTTGATCATGATAATTATGAATGAGAAATAACCTTTGGTTATGAAGATATGATCATGTGTTGATTTTCGTAAAATTTTACAAAATGGCGCCTAGATGACGTCATCAGTAAAGGTCAATGTTGAAAACGTTATTGTGCTTTGTACATATGCCTATACATGTGTGTGCCAAATTTGAAGGTATTTGATTGAGCCATTTTCAAGTAATCGTGCTTACAAAAAAGTGGTTAGATGTAAGAAAAATAAATAATAAAGGCAATTCTAACGAAATTATAAGGTGGTCTGTACGTTATACAGCCCATCTGAAAAGGTCTAGTTTTTTTTATCAAACTATGATCAAACTTACCACATGTCCCATGAATGCATAACCAGCTACATTGTGTGCTGTCATGTCCTTGGATATGGTCAGCTTAATCTCCTCTGATAAAACCCTGTCCTTCACCAAGGCTGCTACATCTGGGTCCTGACTCTCAAAGGCTACATCAACAATGAAAGTTAACTCTCTACGTATGGCGAATGAATCCCTGTATACTCCCTGAAGCATAGACTTCATTACATGGGTGGCAATACTTTTGTTCTGTGACACAGTGAAGTACAGGAGATACCTAAACTCCTCCTTCCTTGGCAGCACTACTTGCTCAATCAGCCTGTTGAATTCATTACGATCTGATTCATACAGGAAAGCAAGATGGACTCCAGCCATGTACTCCTGAAACAGTTTGTGAGGGAAGAAGACTGGCAATTGCACATAAGAATTCCCTTTATGCATGTCCATGCTAGTGGTAATTCTGTCCTCCTGAGACAAAATCCCGACCCTACAGGCAGTGTCCTTGGATTCTGGGCATATTTCGAAATCATCTTCACCAAAAACCAAGGTATTTTCTAGCAAACCGTTGAAGGCCTGTTTGGCAATTGGTCCAAGGAGCTCATCAATTGTTGTCAAAGAGGCACGAAGTGAGGAGCTGCCTACTTTCTTCACCTCTTTCTGAGCATAATGTTCTTTTAGAAAGGCAATCATTGTTTTGAATATTTGAGAAAAAGTTTTCAGTGATTTAATTTCCTTTAGTTTTTGCTCACCAAGTTCTTTCCACATAAGACACAACATGGCTACATATATAGGATAGTGGGCCATGTTTTCAGATATGACATCATTCTCACGGGTGAACTGGATAAGCTGATTTGCTTTATCCTCATTCTTTGGAAAGTATTTGTGAATGTAAACTGACAAATTCTCTCTGTTGAAACCCTTAACATGAATGAAAGTGTAAAGCTTCATTAGATCACCATCTGATCTAATCTCTACTGCTTTCCAGGGGCGAGTGGTAACCAAGACTGGGCAAGAGGCAAGTTGGTCTGAACAAAGAATATCTACAAGCCCAATATCACCAGTCTCAGATGAGCTTCCACATGCCTCTGAAGAGTTGACACTTGGCTGTGATGGCTGAAGTTGCATTTGATCAGTAGACTGTGATTCGCAGGATTTTGGCTTCATGATTTCGCCACTGACCTCGTCTAGCCCATCGAATGCAATGAATACCTTGTCAGGATTTGACTGGATATACTCAGTAATCTGAGAAACCGTTGCTGGATTGGTTTTGGCCAGATAAGACTTTACAATCTTGCCAATAGTGTGTTGCTTAAATTCACGTAGAGGAACAATCAAGACCCACACAAAGCGACTGAAATGTCTCCCTTCAATCCAGTCCCAGGCAATCTTAGCACAAAATGTAGTTTTTCCAGCCCCTGCCTCTCCCTGGACCATGATCCGCTTGGGGAACTCTCCATTGACTTCGAGATTAAGGATATCATTGTAATCTAGCATTCGTTTCTCTGTCCCATGTTCTTCTAGTAAGACAAGATTAGTATACATGTCTTTTAACTGCACAATGGAAGCAGGATTGAGAGGATCAGCTCTGATCTTACAGACAGTTGACCTGTACTTGAACTTGAAATCATTTGCACACCGCTCAACCAGTTCAGGAGAAAGTGGTTTGGTCTGAGATCCAGCTGAAGGAGGTTTGGTCTGTGATTCAAGCAGTCTTGATGGTCCTCCTAAAAATACAAAGATAATCCATATTCACATGATTACACATAAATATATATTTTGATACATCTGAAAGGATTTTAAAGGCCTGAGGCTAATAGTGTGACCTACGACAAGGTGCATGTACTCAAAGACGCAAAGTCCTACATGTTTGTTTGAATTTGACTTGTATGAAGTCATGAAGTCAATTATGCAACCGTGGGCAGATGCATAATTAGAGTTTTCATAATGAAATGATCAACGCAAAATAATATAATTTGTTTGTAGATCATGTAAACATAAAGAAAGCTGACAAACATTAAAATTCTGCTGTCACTCAAAGAACTTGTACTATACTCAGGCACGTACGCAGGATTTTTTCAAGGGGGGGTTTTTAACATTTATAAATCAGGCCGAAAATTTCGCAACGACTCAGCCAGCCGCTGAATAAGCGGAGGGGGGGTAAGAGGTCACTTTTTTTTTTTTTGGTCCCAAAAAAATCGCAACTACTCAGCCAACCGCTGAATAAGCGGGGGGGGGGGGGGGGGGGGGGGGGGGGGGGGTAAAAGGACACATTTTTTTTTTTGGTCTCGAAATTTGAAAATTTGACATTTTGCTCCGTTGGGGGGGGGGGGGATAAGGTCAGCTTTTTGGGGTCAACCATGGGAATACTTTTTTTTTTTTCAAAAGGGGGAGGTTTCAGAGAAATTTAGGGGGGTTTACACACAAAAAAATACCACCCACAAAAAAATACCCCCCCCGGGGACGCGCCTGACTATACTGGTGTACAGAAAATATCTACGATTAACAAAGTTAAATTCATGGGGCCTGATAAAATTTGACACTTCTGTAAATTGTGGCAAATGTATAGAACACAGAGCAACACTCACTTTCTTTATGGTAAAAACTCATTTCACTTTCATGCATGGTTTCTATATCTTCAGCAACAATACATGTAGGGCTGGGAATTTTGGGAATAGTTTTAATTTGGGTACCCGCCACCGTCGTCGTCACCAGAAAAGTGGCGCCTATGTCTCGCTTTTTGCTACGCAGGCGAGACAAAAACTGGGGCGAAAATAGAAAGAAAACACACGAGCCGCCATTTTTATTCATGCAGGATGAATGGCCTTGCTGCGAGGTACTTGCATGTGTATATACTGTTTATGTTGATCACGAGGCGGCTAGAATCCACTCTACTGCCATCTGCGGTAAAAAGCAGTAAAACAGTGGATTCAAGTGTAGTAATTAAATATGTTCAGCAGGCCCCTTCACTCCTCAAATATCACTATTTATGTCGCATTTCTTGGATAACTATTGAAATCTTTGTCCAAGTTATGATCTGCTTACGGTAAAATTTTGAGTACCGGTAGTTGTATCTTTCCCAGTGTGATCTTATAGTTTTCAATGATTTCTTGGTAAGATCATGTATATTTGTTAGTATGTTTCGGCACGCATTACAGCAAATTTAAGTGTACTGCGCATCTTTCCGTGACTAGTCCGAACTTGTCCTGCAACAGCAATGAGTATATCTAAATTGTTGTGATTACTAAGTAATTATCAGCTTTTAAACTAAGCATGCAGTGTTAAGAATAACAGACAATTCATTTTGTCTTTAGTACATGTACATCATTTGATCAGTATTTCATGAAGAAGTTTTTTTAGAAAGCTGTTTTATTTATTTATTATTTTTAGTCTGATTAAATCCTGCGTGAATCAAAATGGAGGCTCGAATGTTCTCTTTCTATATTAACACCAGATTTTGAGGCAAGATATTAGCACTAAGCATCACCAAACATGGATGAAAATGATTTAAATTGTTAGAATATACCGATCTGAGACGAAGTACGCATGTGTTCATTTATTTGTTTGATAAATAAGGTCACTTTTAGTTTTAAGGGGTATATTTTTCATTGCCATCCAATTTCGGGAAAGGGATATCTAATTTTTTTGTCTTGGGACCCAAGGCTCTCAGGCAGGATCCGGGTACCAGGTTTTGAGTCCCAGCCCTAAGCAAAAATTAGTATCTGTTTACCTTGGCTGTTTGGAATTAGAGGCTCATTGAGTAATCTGTCTGACAGGCCACCCAAGTCAATCTTTCGTAGTTTGTCTGCCAAAAGCTGCCGTTTGTTTGAGTGTGGAGGTTGCTGCATGACATTCCATTTCATGAATACATCCATAAATGCACTTGCATAGTTCTTCAACTGCTCACTTAGGATTGCTTGTAGCTGAGCACGGGGGATCCCTAGAGATATCCCTACAGCCTCGTAGTATGATGGAGCGATGTCCTGGGCCAGCTTTAGGAACTCCATTTCACTGACAGTACTGTAAAATGAATAATAAATCAATTGGGTACAATAGTATAGAGAACATCCTATTGCCTGAGAAGTCATGTGATACTCAACAATTACATACGTGCTCGAGCATGCAATATATAACAGCCTAGGAATATAAGAATATAATATGCCTGTGATATTATAGTATTAATGACTGCTTTGAGAGAAATAGTTGTTTTTATACGCTCAAGGGAAGGTTAGAATTGTGCTATTACCCGAGGCGTGCCGAGGGGACTAGCCCAATTGTAACCTTCCCGAGAGCGTATAAAAACAACTATTTCTCGAATATTAAAGCAGTCATTAATACTTTTATATGCCAAAAAAAAAGAAGAAAAAAAAAAGAAGAAAAAAAAATTGTCGAAGATGAGATTCGATCTCTTGCGTACAAAAGGTGATAAAACTTAAACCAGCGCCTTAAACCGCTCGGCCAGCGCGCTCTTTCACCATATACAGTAGTTTTCTTTAATATACATTAAAATGAATTGAAAACGGCTTCGCGTGGTCGATGCTTCGCCGCTGCTCCATTAAACGGGCCCTTCTTTTACTTTTGCAATGCATATTGGCACGAACTTAGATCAAGATCTATCGGCAGATGTCGTTTTTTTGTTTTTGGAAGTTTATTTTCGTCTTCATGTCAACAATGCAAGATAAAATTGTCGGTAAGATCGATCGAGATTCAATTGTATTGAAATTACCGACCAATTCTTCGCACACGTACGGTATCCTCGATCGCTCAGACCATTTTTTAACATGTAAACCTATGGGGTAACCATGGAGACTGACCTATTTTCCCAATAACCATGGTTATTGGGATTTTTGACTGTTTTTTAACCATGGTTACCGGGAATTTTCGGGAACAGTTAAAGTTTATGAATGCAATTTCGACCAATCAGATTGCTGGATTACTTAAGTGAGGTACATGTATATAATAACATTTAAAACATATTGGCCCAAGTTGCAGGTCAGCTCAGGGCAGTATTGTTCTGACAAGGGTTATTATTTTAAAAAAGCAGAGTTAGGCAGTAAATGCAATAATGACGATGATGATAATAATAATAAGAAGAAGTAAAGGATTACTTTACTATTTGTCAAAATACTGATAATTTTTAAATGTATATTAATACAATTGATGATGATGATGATGATTATTATTATTATCATTATTATTAATTTTACAATTATCATCATTGTTATTATTTTCATTATTATTACCTTCATCATCATTACTATAATCTGTACCATGCAAAATATTTGTAATCACTAAACGTTTGTTCTATAAAATGATGATTTTAAGTGGCACATTGACTCATTCATGATGATTGACCACATTGAGTGATTTGCCTTGTTTAAAGAAGGTTGAGTTTTTGGGAAAGGTGACAAAAATATTGAGCTTTTTCACACTTTTTTTATTTTAGTACAGAAGGGTATCATAGAACAAAATCTTCCCTGACTGAAAAAGATAGCTCTTCAAATGCCCTCATTTTTTTTCAATGACAAATATTTTGTTTTTGACCACATGCACTTTCCCGACATATGTTTGTGGAGTTCCATATATACATATTTCTGTGTCCAGCTAATACATGTACATGTGACTTTTTAGCAAGACTGGGCAAAATTATTGTTTTGACAACTCCAACACCTCACAGTATACACCATACAACCTTTCCAATCGCTTCCAAACCGTTTCTTTGGAAATGCAATCGCGTAACTATAGGTCCCTGTTTCATAAAACTTGTTATCAATCACAAATGCTAAATTTCTATGACATTCCTGATCTTAGGCTCTCAGCAGAACAAATGCCACAATAGACTAGTTCACGGTTAGCACAACTCTGCAATGACCCTGAATATCCAAAGATCTTCAAAACATGAAGAGGTCCCACTTTGTACATTTTGAAATAATCACTCCTACAGCGATGGAGGTGCTTTAGCCTTTGTTTTCCCTTTTCAAAGAATACTTCCACCTGTGTATCATGGAGTGCACTGCTTGTGCATGAATGAATAATGTTACATATTACTTCCATCAACACATATCCGGTATTTCGTCTCCGTATTTTTCACAATTTGTTCTGCAATAACCTTTATCTGCTCTTGCTCATGCAACCGTGAACTGGCTTATTCTAGTAGATCAAAACAGTTATTGTAACTTGTTATTGATAACAAGGTTTATGAAACAGGGCCCAGAATTCAACGTCATTGTTAACCCTGAAGGTGCTTCTAGTATATGCATACGTACCTTACTGCAGGGTTAGGACCTGGATTGGTTTCAATGTCACCAGATCTCATCAAGAGGATCAGGAGCAGATAGAGAAGGCAGAATCCATCCATGGTGTAAGATGTTCTTTGCACTCTACAGAGATTTAGTCCTCTGGAAAATGGTGATATGACATGAACGAGAATATCTGAAAACAATATTCAAAAATATAAATATTTTACGTACATAAAACAGATGGACTAACTATCATTCAGAGTTTCAATTCACTACATCTTTTAATAATAGCTTAAGGTTTTGGGGGTTTCGACGCCATAAACTTTTTGCCCCCGCCTCCTGAAACCCGCCTTTGGAAAGAATGGCTGGGACCAGCCAAGAAGCTGTGCCTCGCAGGGTTAATATTCACGAAATGCTATATTTGGGCAGAAAACAATGATTTTGTGATTTTTGTTTTTTTGTAGTCGAGAATCAGGGCACACAGCTAGGTTTCTTTCCCAGCATGCAATGAGCGTCATCATGTATTGCACAGTCTACACCATATATAGAGTGCATTCAAGGCTCCTCGGCCCAGCAGTGGCAAGAAGAGGCACAGGAATGGAATCAAATTAATAGATAAATCTTTGTTACGTGCCTCGTTACAAATAATTTTATGTCAATAGTCAGAATGTGAATTGCAAACATTAGTTGTTGTTACATGTAGGTAGGACAACCATGATTTCTTGTCCTAAACTACCTAGATCTAGATCCTATTTTCCTAACAACATCATGGAATACGGTCTACATGCAATTTGCATTCTGACTATTGAAGTACAATTATTTGTAACAGGTGAATTAAATGCTTCTAACAAAGATGTATGCATTAAATTTGCTTCCATTTAATACGAAAAAATCGAGAAATTCTAAAAATAGATATTTGATGACGTCATGCACACTTCACCATACTACAACACAAGGAACAACAAGGTAGATCTAGATCTAGATCTATATGAATCCGGGCTAACTCGGCCCACGGGACTACTCGGCCCAGCTGGAAAAACTGGGCCGAGATGTCCCGACCTGATTAATCGATCGAGAGATACCAATGTGTATATGTTTGTGCTCTTTGTGACTTAATAATGCCCTTTCCAACCTAAATCTTTAATGGAATTGTGTTAAATGATTCTAATGAAGACAATCTATGACTTATCTTTAGGTAAAATGACAAAAAAAATGACATTTCGGACAATTTACTCACAGCTCGCAATCTGCATTGCCGCACGTACATTAAATGTGCGTTGTATCTACTCGGACCACTAAAATTCGAGCAGTGTTTTTGTCGGTAAATCACTGCAAAAATATCATTTTTATCTCGTATGAAGGTCTATTTTTTATTCCTGACACAGATATCATTATTGAGAAGTCGAATATAGTATATTTTAGACGAGATGGTTGATGTTTGTTCACATTCTTTCGTTCTGGCCGTAAATTAGCAGACTACTGCATAGTGCTACCGCAGCAGCTCAGCTCAGTGTGCAGCTAGCCGTACAGCGCCGCCGGCCGGGTCGGCGGGGGAATTCACTGACTCGTGCCGGGCCGCTGCACTGCATTGCATGATTGTACTGCCCAATTTGATCGAGTGATGTGAGTATAACTAATCAAACTAGATCTATATCTACTGTATTATCATTATTCATTCCGAGTAGAATATCCAATTTGATTTTAGTGAGTAAACTAGACCTAGATCTATATCTACTGTAGCTACATCATTATTATATTCTAGATTAGTCATTCAGAGTAGAATATCCGATTAATGAAGGAATGGAATTTTTCTTTTTTCATAATCAGATAATCATATTTTACTCCTAAAAGTTAGAGACTTGATAAATAGCTAGATCTAACGTAAGGGCCTAGCCTAGTACTCTAAGCAGATTCTTCAGTGAGCTGAAGAATCGCCTTATTTTTTTGGAGGGGGCTGCTTCAAAAAAATTCTACGAAAAGAAGGTATTGGCTTCAAGTTTTTAGTATAACTAATGCAGCCCCCACCACCCCCCCCCCCCCCAAACAAACCAAAAAATCTCCTTTTTGTTCCCTTTTTCTGGGAATCAAAGAGATATATACAAAGCAAAGCAATTAAGACATGATATTGCAATGACGTGCCGGTGCATGGAGGGGCAGGGGCAGAGGCGGCCCTCCCGGGGGGTGGGGGGGGGGCACAGTGCCCCCCCCCCCCACTTTTTCAGATACCCCAAAAGTGCCCCTTTTTACATAGAAAAAGTGCCCCTTTAATTTTGTAAGAAGTGCCCCTTTTCCTTTGACAAGTGCCCCTATTACTTAGTAAAAGTGCCCCTTCCCCCATTTCACCTCTGACGAGTGCCCTTTTTTATTTTTGACACGTGCCCCTTTTCCTTCGGCATGTTCCCATTTTCCTTTGCAATAAGTGTCCATTTTCCATTCTCATAAATCTTGAAATAATCTTGAATAAGTGCCCTTTTTAATCTTTTTTTCAAACATGTCCTCATTTTTATTTAATTGTTCTAACTTTGTTTATTTATTTAGGTTTTTTTTTTGCCTTGTAACTTGCATATATGAAATAATACGTACCAATACCTCAACACAAGGAATGGTGTGGCGTGTCATCTGTACTGGTTTCTGCATGTTACAAAATTATTTTTTTTTTTGGGGGGGGGGGGCTGGGGGTTAACAGATTTATAACCGATATCTGTGTACCTGTATAAATATGTATACTATAAATAAATAATAAATAAAAAACAAAATTGCATTACCACAACGTGGCATAAAATTAATACACGATTACACCTGCTTATCATTTGTTATTATAAGTCTGCTTGACGTCATATTGTTGGAATTTGTATCTTGGAATCGTAAACAAATAATGTTTATTGTTATTATGTGTGTTTTTCAAACATGTCCTCAATTTTATTTAATTGTTTTAACTTTGTTTATTTATTTAGGTTTTTTTTGCCTTGTAACTTCAATATATGAAATAATACATACCAATACCACAACACAAGGAATGGTGTGGCATGTCATCTGTACTGGTCTCTGCATGTTACAACTTTTTTTTTTGGGGGGGGGGGAGGGGGGGGGCTGGGGGTTAACAGATTTATATCTGATCTTGTGTACCTGTAAATATGTACATACTATAAATAAATAATAAATAAAAAAACAAAATTGCATTACCACGACATGGCATAAAATTAATACACGATTACACCTGCTTATCATTTGTTATTTTGAGTCAGCTTGACGTCATATTGTTGGAATTTGTATCTTGGAGTCGTAAACAAATAATGTTTATTGCTATTATGTGTGTTTTTCAAACATGTCCTCATTTTTTTATTTAATTGTTTTAACTTTATTTATTTAGATTTTTTTTTGCCTTGTAAATTGCATATGAAATAATACGTACCAATACCACAACACAAGGCATGTTACAATTTTATTTTTTTTTGGGGGGGGGGGGCTGGGGGTTAACAAATTTATATCTGATCTTGTGTACCTGTAAATATGTACATACTATAAATAAATAATGAATACAAAAATAAAATTGCATTTCCACAACGTGGCATAATACATAATGGAGACAATGTTGATGATGTAAGGGATGGAGATGATGAGAGGGATTGGTGAGGGATGGAGATGATGAGAGGAATGGAGAGGATATTGATAATGAAAGGGATGGAGACAATGTGAGGGATGGAGATGATGAGAGAGATGGAGACAATGTGAGGGATGGAGATGATGAGAGGGATGGAGACGATGTGAGGGATGGAGAATTGGAGATGATGAGAGGGATGGAGACAATTTTGATGATGTAAGGGATGAAGACGATATTGATGATTAGAGGGATGGAGACGTCTCCATCCCTCCCGTCTCCATCCCTCTCACCATCTTGTCACCATCTCTATCCCTTCCATCATCTTCATCCCTCACACTGTCTCCATCCCTCACAACAATCCCTCCCATCCCTCTCATCATCTCCATTCCTCTCACCATGTCCATTCCTCTCATTGTCTCCATCTCTCTCATCATCTCCATCCCTCACCAATCCCTCTCATCTCCATCCCTCTCATTGTCTCCATCCCTCTCATCATCTCCATCTCTCACATTGTCTCCATCCCTCTCATCATCTCCATCCCTCTCATCATCTCCACCCCATGTCATGTAAATTGAAATTTAATTATGAAATTTAATTCTTTGAATGGAATATCATTTTAAATTGATTCAATTTAGGTTTTATTATTTTTGTATGTTCTTTTTGGTTACTAAATAGTAATCAATTATACTGCTTTATACTGTGTTTTTTTTTTTTTTTTTTTGGGGGGGGGATGGAAATTCGTTTTGACCCCCACCCCCCCCCCCCTTTGATGCTTTGATGTTTCATTAAATAATTAGAGAAAGAAGACGACTCGTTGTACCGTTCTCGACTCTTAATCCTTTTTCTTCTTACGTCCTCTTCCTTTTTTTGGGGGGGGGGGGGGGGGAGGGCGACCGCCCCCACTGCCCCCCCCCCCTCCCTGGCTACGCGCCTGCCCCTCCAAAATAAAAAAAAGAAGGCGATTCTTCAGCTCACTTCTCTTACAGTACTAGGCTAGGCCCTTACGAGAGATCTAGCTATTTATCAAGTCTTTAACTTTTAGGAGTAAAATATGATTATCTGATTATGAAAAAAGAAAAATTCCATTCCTTCATTGATCGGATATTCTACTCTGAATGACTAATCTAGAATATAATAATGATGTAGCTACAGTAGATATAGATCTAGGTCTAGTTTACTCACTAAAATCAAATTGGATATTCTACTCGGAATGAATAATGATAATACAGTAGATATAGATCTAGTTTGATTAGTTACTCGCATCACTCGATCAAATTGGGCAGTACAATCATGCAATGCAGTGCAGCGGCCCGGCACGAGTCAGTGAATTCCCCCGCCGACCTGGGCGGCGGCGCTGTACGGCTAGCTGCACACTGAGCTGAGCTGCTGCGGTAGCACTAGGCAGTAGTCTGCTAATTTACGGCCAGGACGAAAGAATGTGAACAAACATCAACCATCTCGTCTAAAATGTACTATATTCGACTTCTCAATAATGAAATCTGTGTCAGGAATAAAAAATAGACCTTCATACGAGATAAAAATGATATTTTTGCAGTGATTTACCGACAAAAACACTGCTCGAAT